CATGGTGTGATTAAGATAACAATTTTGACTCAATTATTTGATCTAATGAAGAAAAAACTATTAGTTGAGTTAAATTATTCTAATTGGGAGGATCCATTGATTATAAATTACAAGAAGCGAATAAAAGCATGCATGTAAATTGTCATACTTTGTTTTATTTTATTTCTATGCTTTCTTTTGTTTTTTGGTAGCTAATAATTTTGCAAGCATTGTGCTTGATTTGAAGATTTTGTGCTTTCAGGTGATATCTTACATCTCGTTTTCCTTTATCTTAATAGATTTTACTTGTCAACATTGTGGACGATGTTTAATTTAGGTTTGGGGGTAAGGGGAGGTTAATAAATCTTGAATTTATGTGACTGCAAGTTTTTTTTTTTTTCTTAAAAATAAAATTTATCTATACTCATGTTTATCATTCATTTGTTGCATTTGGTGATTGAACTCAGTTTGTGATATGTTTGTTGCTTTAGCATGAGAATTGAATGAAGTTTATTTTACTAGCCTCTTTGTTAAAGTATTTCAAATATTCATCTCTGGAAATTATTTGCACTGCACTTTAGCCACATAAATTTAGTTTTAGTTAATGAGTGAATATGACTTGGAAATCTTGAAGAATAAAAGTGGAGACTTTTAACCCTTGTGAGTTCTCATGCCATTATTTCTTTGGAGGATTATTATACATTTACTCTTGATTCTTTTTGTTGGAAGCGCATTATATTGTTGATTAGTCTCATTATTATTTGTTATGGCTAAATACTGAGAATACATTGATTTATTATCACACTTTTACTCCTTTGAGATCATGAAAATTGGAAGAACCATACCAATTCTTGAGAGATGATTCTAGGCCATCTTTGATTTTTTTTTGAGCCTTTTATATTTCTTCTTTATTTCATTAACCACTAGACACCCTTTTGAGCTTTTATTTTGCCTTTCTTTGTTGAACCTAATACCCAATGCATTTTGAGATTTGTTGAGATTATTATGTTAAGGAAAGGGCAAATAAGTTTGAATTGGAAATTAAAAGAACAAGAAAAAGAAAAAGAGAAAAATAAAAATAAAAAAGGAACTCAAAGGAAAGGAAAAAACAAAAACAAAAACAAAAACAAAAACAAAAAAAAGATGAATATAAAATAAAAAAGAATGTTGAAATTGTGGAAGGAATGAGTGAATTATTTGCACTAATGCCCTAGTTTATTTATTTTTATCCCAATAAATTCTCTGTCATTCATTTTTATTTGTTCACCTTTACCCTTTATTTTATATTGCCTTGACCTGTACATTATTTACAACCAAATAAAAGTATCTTTGGAGTGGTATGATTTGTATGTGGACATGATTTAAAAGAGTGATGGTGTGGTAATTTTATGTTGCGTTTGGTAGTGCTTTCTAACTATGATTTGAGAGTATGAGTTGTATTTTGAGTTTGTGAGTTTTGGAATTTTGATTTGAGTGTGGAAAATTTGTTTGCTAAAGAGTTTTGAAAATAGTTTTGAAAAGAGTTTTGAACTGAGTGGGGAATTTTTGATGTGGCATTTGATATTTGATACAAAAACTTACAACTCATAACTAAACATACAACTCAAAATTCTATTAAAGTACATAAAAAATTTTTAAAAATTCGGAAAATATTTTTTTCGAATATATAAAAATTAACATATCAAAAAAAAAAATTGCACTGTTCCAGTTAACCGGCCGGACGACCGGTTAGGCCAAATGTCAAAAAATAAAAAAATTGAAAATCGCACTCTCAAACCGATTTTTTTGCAGAGTTGTGGAAAATTAATTCCAGTTACCTATCCAAACATCATATTCAAATATGGGAGTAGAAAACTCGTTCCAAACAGAGCCTTAAATTCTCAGTATTTGACATTCCTTTCATGAGTCTATATTTATTCTTCTTTATTAGCGTTCTTTTCAAAGATCTAGTATGCGAGATATTTTGATTTTGACTTACATTATTCCGCTCGCATATATATATTGAGGGTAATTTTGCACCTATTTCAGAGTGATTTATTTGTTGAGTGCATTATCCGGTGAGATTTGAGTGAGCATATTTCGAAAAGAAATTTGAGTTATGTTCTACTTTGAGATTGAAATTGTATTTGTGCTGGCTAAACTTATTCACACACTCCAGATTTTGAATACTGTGGGATATCTTTACTTGTTGCTAGTATTGGTTTTTCTGTTAAGGTGATGGGATTCATGGCTTTGCACTTGAACTGGTTGTATGAGAATGAAAGAAAAGTATTGAGGATAGTTTTTGAATTTTGTGGGTATATTTTCTGCAAACCCTCACAGGACTATAACTCATCCACTAGGGGTAACCTAGGAGTTTAAAGGCTTGTTGCATATGCTAAATGCAATCAATAGACCTACGAAAGTGGATGGGTTCACACAACCTTTTTAAGGTCTTTAGGATTATGTATGCCATGTTTTGACTTTCTCCGTCCCTATTTACTCTCAATTACTCGAACCTTAAGTGAAAAAATGAACATTCTCTCTACAATATTCTAGGCATAGATATTCAATTTTATCTAAGTACTTGCATTTACAAAATGAATCTTTTGAAGGCTTCAAAAGAGATTTTTGAAAAAGTTTGAAGATTTTGGTTTTTTAACCTTTTAAAAAGTTAAAAACATTGGCTATGTTTGGTGCGGCTTTATAATCATAATTCCACCCCTCCATTTGGATGGAGTTTTGAAAATCTCTCTCTTTTGTCTTCTCCATTCTGAGAAGCAGAGGAGTTTTTGAATTTTGTGTCTATCCCGGTCATCCTCCCGGACGTCTGGCCGGTTGACCAAAATAGAGGTTTTTTTTTTTGCAATTGGCAATCGCCACCTGTTATTTGGAAAAAAATATATATTTGTTTTTGATATTTTTTAAATAAAGAATTTTTTTTTAGACCAAAATGCAAATTATTTTTTGAATTGAATGTTAAAAAGAGTTTGGTTATAAATTTTGAATAGAGTTTTGAGTTGTGCGTTTGGTTATGAGTTATAACTTTTTGAATTAAGTTCTGAAAACTCTTTCAAATGTCATAACCAAACAAATTTTCTCGATTCATATGTTACATCAAAAATTCAAAACTCAATTAAAAAAACTTTTCAAAACTCATAACCAAACAAATTTTCTCTTTTCAAATCATAATTCCAAAACTCACAATCAAAATACAACTCTATTTTCAAATCATAATTCTAAAACTCTACTAAACGCAACCATTGTTGTTGAGTAATTGTTACTTGGAAATTGAAAGTTTGTTTGTTTGTTTTCTTTATTAAGAATGGTTGATAAGAAATAGTATCTAAAAGGGAAAAGGTGAAGTGGTAAACGTGGGAACTCGTGTTAACTTCTTACCCAGATCACATGATCATCATTTAAAACAATATTTTCATTGATTTAAATCTAAATATTTCATATTTATTAGATATATTTAATATCTAAGTGTGTAGGTATATTTTCGATTCACGATTTGAATTCTGATTTGACAACTATGCATGGGAGTGACAAAACATTAAATTGATATTTTTCCATTAGTTTTCATAAGTCAAATACAAAGATTCCTTGGTTGATTATCAAATTTCTTTGCAGGATTTCTTTTTTTTTTGTTCTTCTTCTTCTCTCTCTCTCTCTCTCTCTCTCTATCATTGCTTATAATCAATCTGGTAAATTTAGGGTTTGATTTTCGATCAGTTTTGATGCGATGAATTCAGATTTAGGATTTGATTTTAATTCAAGAGCTATTGTTTAGATCTAGGGTTTTGATTTTGCCTTCTTTATTAATTTCTTCTAATGGAACTGATTCTTGGTTCCTAGTTGAAATTGAAGAAAATTGAGGGATCCTACTCTTTCTCTACATGTGTATATATGAACATAAATATAGTTTCATTTATATAGAATTGTTTTCTTTTCTGATTTGTTGATTTGAGATTTTGTTTTTCAATTTTACAACGTTTTGGGCTTACTTTGCTTCTAATTTACATTGGGACATTTTATTAATGCAATTTTTGATGGTTGTCTTTTTCATATGTTAAGCATTTTTTTATTATTATTTTTTTCAATTGGTGATATATGATTTGTAACTAATATCTGTTGGTTTTGGATGCTTAACATTTGGAAACATTTTTTTGGGGGGTTTCAATCAGGACTGTTTCTATATGGTAGTTTTGATGCTTTGAATCCAATTTAGTTAGGTGTTTATGAAATTTGTGGAGGCAATTCTCTTATGTGGAAACATGTTTTGAGTTTTAGATGGTTTTGAAAACAAATGCAAATGACAAGCGAAAGTAACAGTTTGATTTGCTAGTAATATTTGTATTCGAAGCTGTTTAGTTGCTATATATACTCTGTTTTCATGGATCTCTTGTATTTGTTGTCAAATTTTTGTGCTTATTTATTCAACTTCTTGTTTGTGGTCTGGATTTCATTTTGAGCCATAGTCGAAGTAAAATATAATCTGGAAATGTGTGTATATTTGATGGTGTGTTTGTTTCTGAATAGTCTGGTTTGGGCTTATCTATATTTATGGACTACCCATTTGGTGTTAGTACTTCAAATCTTTATGCAACGTAAAAGGGTTTTATGAAATGGAAAGGCATGATGTGCTTCTTATTTGGTCAATGAGTTACAGGTTTTGAGAATGAAGTGTTTTTGGTTGGAACTTTTATTGTAGTGTGTAGAGAATTAAGGGAGCGTAACTTTTGTCCTATGTCAAACTCTCTTTTTTATTTTTATTTTTATCATTATTGGAAAATGTTTGAGACTCACAAAAAACTCACACAATTTAACCCACAATGATGTGACATAAAATTTGAATTTGAATTTGAACTTTAAACTTTCTCTTGTCATTTGAATTTGATCTTTCAACTCCATATAATTGTGCTGGATTATTACTATTGAGTATAATTTCTTTCTTTATTATATTGCTTTTGTTTATTATGGCTGCTTATTATTGTCACATTATTGGGTTGTTGGTTGTGGTGGTTATCATATATATTTAGCCATGGATATGGATCAAAAAGGGCCAGGGAAGAACAAGTGAATGTGGACAGATGAAGAGGATAGAGAATTGGTTTATGCTTTTTTTGACATGGTCAATACAGGAAATCACAAGGCTGACAATGATTTCAAGTCAGGCTTTCTTGGGGTGCTTGAATGAGTGTTGCATGAGAAGTTGCCGGGGTGTGGAATTAAGGCTAAGCCACACATAGAATCTAGGGCTACGTTACACGGACTCGTTCATTTTTGGGAGGTACCCGTGTCGACACGACACGGGTACGGGATACGTACGGGACACGGCCAAATGAAAACGGATACGGCTGATTGTTTTCTATAATATTTTTGTTACAGAATTTCTTTTTTGTTCTTCGTTTGAACAGGAAGAGGATAAGATCAGAAGAATCAAACCAACAAAATACAAAACTTCACAACATGATTTGAATGGAAAGGAAAAGAAGCCTGAAATGGAGAAGTAAAGTTGAGGCTGAGGTCACCAGAAAGCTGAAGAGTTGAAGTCGTCGGTGCCTTATTGCAACCTTTTCTGCTTCGTCGATGCATTCCCATAATTTTTGAACTGAATTGTCTTCGGCTGATTTTTTTTTTGAACTGAATCGTCTTCGGCTGATTCGTCTTCCTTTCGTCTTCCAATGAATTTGTGGTGTTCCTGCCTCTGTTTTTTTATTTTTTTTCTTATTTTTTGAACTAGTTCGTCTTCTTCTGGGCTGATGCATTCCCTCTGTTTTTTGTTCTTGCCTCTCTCTCTCTCTCTTCTATTCTAGATCTGTCTTTTGATCTGCCCCCTCTCTCTCAGATCTGCCTTTTGATCCCCCCTCTCTTTTATTCTTTATTTATTATATTTCATCCCTCCCTTTTATTCATTTTATAAAAATATTTTTTTAAAAACAATTGGGCTGAACATCAGAAGATCCACAACTTTAAAATTGGGCTATAAGTACTCTTGGCTTTCCAGTGTTAAACTTACTTATTTGTTAAACAATTGTCTTCACTACCAATTGGCTACAAAAGATTGACATAAATTTTGGGCCTACTAAAATTTGGGGCTATTAAAATTTTGGCCAACAAATCTTTTAATACCATGGGTTGTTATGTAACTAATTTATATTTTTGTTATTTATAATATATATGTCAATTAAAAGTAAAAAAATAAATTATATAGATAAATTAAAAAAATTATCAATAAAAGTAATACATAAGATAAAAATAATAAATATATTTAAAAAATAACTATTTCACTTATTATTATATAATAAATATATTTTAAAAATTAAATATTTAACGTATCCCTGTATCCGTATTCTCGTTTGGATCCATATCCACGTATCCTCGATTTTTAGTTTTGAAGTGCCCGACCCCTAGATACGTACCCACACCCGAGTCCGTGTAACGTAGATCTAGGGTCAAGACATTGAAAAGTGACACTGGAACTGTGTTTGATATGGTTAACCGAGTGGGCTGCAGTGGATTTGGATGGGATTCCATCAAAAATATGGTGGTTGCTGAAAAACAAGTTTGGGATGGCTATGTGCAGGTATTATATTACCTTGAATTCTCTTCATTTCTTTCTTCCTATCTGTGGTGCCTTCCATTTATTTTCACTAGTCATTTGTTGCTGCATTGCAGAGTTATTGAGGTCATTGTTATCTATGAACCTGATTTAAGTAGTGTCATTATCATTGATCATAATGTGTTTCTTTCTATCCATGTCAAGTCAACCTTTCCATTGATTGTTAAACTCATATTAAAGTTGCTGTTAGCAATGCTAGTTCTTGAATTTCATACAAAATGCATATTTTTTGAGAGAGCCAGCTGCACATATGAACACAACAACCATATCAACATGCATGTTCTGTATATTCTTTTCAAACCCAATAAAATTTAATCTATAAACAATCAAAACCTGGTGTATTTAATGATTTATAACCAGATAGGACTGTAGGCATACCTGAGGTTATGAGTAAAGACTTTGAAGATTTGACCTGTTCTTAAATTCACTCTGATCAAGGACAGATTAAGAAACATTTAGATAATTGTCCTGCATCTTTCTTTTGTTCTCCTTTCTTTCCTGATCACTACTTCAGCTTCTTTTACTGGGAGCCATACGGCTGTCCATGTTATTGAGGTACAGAGTGGTTTCTAGATAGGTCTTTATTATCTATAATTAGCACACTATTTGTGCTCATTGGAAGTGGTGGTCTGCTGGGTTCAGGAATGCACCAAATGAATTTAATATTATTATTATTGGGTGGTTGGTAGATTTCTTGGGAAGTCTAAAAGGCTTGATGGTTTATCCATACTCATGTATTTATATATATACAGATGTGATGAGGATAGTGTGTGCTTTTCTGGGACAAAAAGCAGTGTGTGCTGTGAATTATGTAGTTTATATTATTCATTAAGGATAGTTTAGTACTTTAGGTTATTAGGGTTTCATTCTATTGCTTATATATTTGTACTTCTTTTGATTAATCAATTGACACAAGTTTTGTCATCTGTTAACATGGTATCAGAGCTAAGTTTCAAGCATTAGCATACCTGTCACAGTCGTTCTTCTCAAGGTTGTTGTCGCAGCTCTTTCTTCCTCTTCGCAAGGCTTCGTTGCAAGGCTTCGATGATCTGTCGCACTCGTAGGTCATCACCGAAGCAGTTGGTTCTGGTTCAATCGAAACCCTAGGAAGCCGTCATCGCTGGTCTGTGGTCCTTCATCACTGGTCTCTGGTCCATTTGAAGACCTAGGTTGGGTATCTCACTGATCTGTAGTCCTTCATCGCTCTGGTCTGTGGTCCTTCATTACTGGTCTCTATCTTTGTCTTCATCGCTGGTCCATTTGCCTTCATCGCTGGTCTCGATCTTTGTCTGGTTCAGTTGAGGACGAGGACCAAACATTGCTACTCTTCACAGGTTGAGCATCTCTCTCTCTTCTCTGCTGTCTTTTACTCTGTTTTGAATGCACTGTAGTTTGGGTATACAATATGGCTAATGATAAATTGCAAGCTATTACTACTAAATTAGATGGTACCAATTATTCTTATTGGTCTCATGTGATGAAAAATTTTATAATGGGTAAAGGCATGTGGAATTATGTTATTGGTATAACTATTAGACCTGTGGAATCTCAAGAAACTGTGGCCGATGTTGCTAAATGGGATAAGGAAAATGCATAAATTCTTGCTTGGTTTCATAATTCAGTTCAAACTACCATTGGTATGAATTTTTCCAAATATTCTACTTCTAAACAAGTTTGGGACTATTTGAAGACTATGTACCTTGAGTCTAACTTTGCAAAACAGTATGAACTTGAGATATCTATTCGCAGTGCTAGTCAGAAAGATAAGTCCATTCAGGAGTTCTACAATGAGATGACTACTTATTGGGATCAGCTTGCTTTGATGGAATCGTCCGATTTGCAGTTACTTGACAGTTATATCAAGTATCGGGAGAAACAACATCTTGTTCAATTTCTCATGGCCCTTCGTGATCAGTTTGAGCCACTTCGGCGAGCTATTCTTCATCGGTCTCCCTTGCCTTCTGTGGATGGTGCTGTCCATGAGCTTATTGCGGAAGAAACTCAGTTTAAGGTGGCTCATGGTACTCCTGCTTCCTAGTCAGTTTTTGCCACTCCTCCGCTCTTGCCCACCCCATCTTCTCATTTATTTCAAGTTACTGGTAAGCCCAAGCCTCGGGTTTCTATGGATGAGTGCAGCTTCTGTCATCGGAAAGGCCATTGGAAACATGCATGTCCTAAACTTTTGCAGCCCAAGGGTCGTTCATCTAGTTCACCATTCGCTAAGCCGACATTTTCAGGATCTCGCTCATCTGTCGCCTTTTCTGCACCAGTTTCTGAGAATGATCCATCTTCCAATATGCAGTCTATGTTTGAGCAGTTCAAGTCTTTCATAGTGGCCAATCCAAATCTTTCGTCCCAAGCCTCCACTATGACTACCACTCAGTTCGGTTTGTCTGGTTCATCCTCTTCAGGTAATATCCATACTTCGTGGATCTTTGATTCTGGTTGTTCACATCATATGACTCCAGTTGCATCTCTCCTCAGTAATTGTGTCTCTCCTTCTTCTATCACTATTGCTACTGCTAATGGTTCTTCTATGCTTGTACACTCTGTTGGTTCTATTTCTTGTTCCCATTTGTCTCTCTCCTGTATTTTATGTGCCTAACCTCTCACTTAGTCTTATTTCTATTAGTCAATTATCTGATTCCGGTTTTGATGTTTTCTCTTCTGCTCATTGTGTTGTACAGGACCGGGTATCCAAGAGGTAGATTGAGATAGGGCGTAGAGTTGGAGAACTATATATCTTGGACAGCTTACATGTTCCTCTAGAAGTGCCTTCTACTGCATTGTCTTCTTTTTGTTTGAACAATAAGTCCTCTTTGTTTTATATTTGGCATTCTAGGTTAGGTCATCTGTCGAGTGATCGGTTGAGGATGTTAGTTAGGTCTGGACATTTAGGCAATTTTCCCATTAGTGATATTTCTGAGTGTCGTGGTTGTAAACTGCCTAAAATGTCTGCTCTTTCTTTTAATAAAAGTAGTTCTATTTCATCTTCTCCTTTTCAAGTGGTCCATACTGATGTTTGGGGTCCTTCCCCTATAGTTACCAAGGGTGGTTCGCAATGTTGTGTAGCTTTTGTGGATGATTACAGTTGGTTTACTTGGGTTTATTTAATGACTCGAAAATCTGATTTTTACAAAATATATTCTAATTTTCACTCCATGATTCGCACTCAGTTTTCTACCACCATTAAAATTCTTTGTTCTGATTTTGGGGGTGAGTATTACTTGTCTGAATTTGAGGAGTATTTAGCTATTCATGGAACTATTCATCAGTCATCGTGTTCTGACACTCTTGCCCATAATGGTCGAGCTGAGCGCAAACATCGCCATCTCCTTGATACAGCTCGCTCTTTGTTGCTCTCATCTTTTGTTCCTTCTGTTTTCTGGGGAGAAGCTGTGCTCACTGCTGCATATCTTCTCAATCGGATGCCTACTCCTCTTATTGTTTATCAACGCCACAAAGCACTTCCGAGCTCACCTGTCTCTAGCTCTACTGTCCCTCCAACTGTTTCTTTGGATCCCGCTCCTCCTGCACATCGCTTCCCAAAGCGAGATCGTCATCCACCGAACTAGTATGGTTTTGGTAATACATGTTTTCCCCTTTCCTATCAGTCTTTTCTTTCTTGTCTTTATACATATTTTGACCCCAGGTCTTACAAGGAAGCTTGTCATGATCCCAATTGGATTGCCGCCATGAATGATGAGTTAACTGCTTTGGCTAACACTCAGACTTGGGATTTGGTTCCATTACCTGCTGATAAGAATGTTGTAGGCTGTAAATGGGTCTATAAGGTCAAAACCCTTTCTGATGGGTCTTTGGAATGGTATAAAGCTCGTCTAGTTGCCCAAGGCTTTTCTCAGGAGTATGGGATTGATTACAATGAGACTTTTGCCCCCGTTGCCAAGATGACTACTGTTCGTACTCTTATCTCTGTTGCCGCTGCCCATCATTGGCCCTTGTTTCAACTAGATGTCAAAAATGCTTTTCTGAATGGGCATCTTGCTGAAGAAGTGTATATGCGCCCTCCACCGGGTCTCTCTCACCCTCCTGGTGTTGTTTGTGGTCTTCGCCGCGCTCTATATGGTCTCAAGCAGTCTCCTCGTGCTTGGTATGAGCGATTTCACTTTGTTGCCCTTCAGCTTAGTTTTCGCCCTAGTCATCATGATTGTGCTCTCTTTGTTCGGCACACTTCTGTTGGGCTTGTTCTCCTTCTCTTGTATGTGGATGATATGATCATCACTGGCTCTGATTATAGTACTATTGAGGAGGTTAAGCATCAGTTGTTTCAGGAGTTCGAGATGAAGGATTTGGGGTTTCTTCGGTATTTTCTTGGTATTGAGGTTGCTACTTCTCCTACTGGGTATCTTCTCTCTCAGACTAAATATGCCCGTGATATTCTTTCTCGTGCCAATCTCACTGATGAGAAAATTGTTGACACTCCTCTTGAGTTGCATGCTAAGTTTTCTGCTTTTGATGGCGTTCCTCTTGAGGATCCCACTTTGTATCGCGAGTTGGTTGGGTGCCTTGTTTATCTCACCGTTACTCGTTCGGATATCTCCTATGTTGTGCACATTCTCAGTCAGTTTATTTCTGCTCCTCGTTCCACACACTGGGCTGCCTTACTTCGTACTTTGCGCTACCTTCGTGGCACTTTGTTGCAATGTTTACTGTTATCTGCCTCTTCGGACTTGACTCTCTGTGCCTATGCTGACGCTGATTGGGAGGTGACATCTCTGATCGCAAATCCACTTCTGGTCTTTGTGTTTTCCTTGGCGATTCCCTCATATCCTGGAAGAGTAAGAAACAGTTTGTCGTTGCTCGTTCCACTGCTGAGGCTGAGTATCGTGCCATGGCTCATGCTACTTCCGAGATTGTTTGGCTTCGCTGGCTTCTTTCTGATATGGGTGTCTCTCTTTCTGATCCGACTCCGTTGTATTGTGATAATCAGAGTGCTGTCCAGATTGCCTATAATTCCGTCTTTCATGAGCGGACCAAGCATGTTGAAATAGATTGTCACTTTGTCAGACAGCATCTTCAGGCTGGCACTATTACTCTCCCTTTTGTTCCCTCATCTCTTCAGTTGGCTGATTTTTTTACGAAGACTCGTACTGTTGCTCGTTTTCATTTTCTTCTTGGCAAACTTTCGATACTTTCTGCGCTCGCATCCTCAGTTTGAGAGGGGGTGTGAATTATGTAGTTTATATTATTCATTAAGGATAGTTTAGTACTTTAGGTTATTAGGGTTTCATTCTATTGCTTATATATTTGTACTTCTTTTGATTAATCAATTGACACAAGTTTTGTCATCTGTTAACATGTGCAACAGTATAGCAACACTGCATTGTGTGTAGAGTGATACAAAAACATTTAGAAATTTTCGTAAAGAATCATTGGTGTGTTTGTTGCTAGAGCTATTATTGTTTGTCTAATAATGATGTTTGTGTTTGTATTTTAAACTTTTTTGATAGCATGATTCGTTCAAGATGGTTGTTGTGAATTGAGTCAATTTCTCTAAGAATTGTTTCTATTTTACATCAGTGTTATGCTAGTGAATTGTGTAACTTCAGCTATTGTAAATTGACTCATTTATTTTACATAGGTTGCTTGATCTCGTTGCTTGGTTTTTACTAAAATTAAAAGAATTTAAATTAAAATTTTGTGATCCATGATAGGTCAATTATTATGTTTTATCATTCATATTTTATTCACATGACCACACTAGAATAAATTTAGTATAAATCAATTATCTATGCTTTGTAATGTCTTGTTATTAAAATTAAATATTGCTGCAGAGCCACAAGCTGCTCACTGGAAAAATACGAGTTTCCCACATTGTGACATGTTGTGCATCATCTTCGAGAAAGATCGTGCTATGGGAAAAGATGCAGTTACTGCTGATGATGTCTTGGAGGAAGTGAGCAGAAATGAGAGCATTGACACACAAAATTTGAGTGTTGAAGAAATCGATACATTGTCAAATGCTTCCATCAACAATGAAGGAAACAGTAATCAAGGAAAGAAGAGGAAGAATAGTAGTGACAGTTCGGATGCCTTTCGTGAAGCAGCTATGATTATTGGCACCAAGATTGAAGAAGCAACAGATAAATTCAGTCGAGCACTAGGTGTGGATTTGGATATAGCTTTGAAGAGGGACAAAATCAACGAGGAGCTTTCCAAGCTTTCCAATCTATAGAGGGTTGAGCGCTGCGGAGCCATGCTTGCTATAGCACGTGATCATGAGGTTACTGCTTGCTTCTTCACCTTGGAAGATGATGAGAAGAATAATTTGTGAGGGCTTTACTTAATGGAGATCTCTATGTCCATTATTATTATTCCTGTTTATTTCTTAGTTGATACTAGCTAATGTGTTGGATCTTGTTACTTTTTTCTTTTTCTTTTTTTGATGGATTCGATCTTCTTACTTGGATGATGCTATTTTGTGCATGTTATTAATTTTGAATTGTTGGGTGATTACTACTTGAATTTTTATAATGTATGTGATGCTTAAGTTTGTTACGTTTTGGGTAATGATAATTTATCAATACAGGTGCAAATCATGTGTTGTGTAGCTTGAAAATACAGGTCTTTATGTCCAAAATTTCTTAAAATTTTTTATTTTTTTAAAAAATGTATAAAAAATCATGATTGGGGTATTTTGGCCAATTTACGACAAATTTCATTTCATTCCAATCATCATTACATAGGAATTGGAATGGCAATTCCATTCTTACATTGATTCCTATGTTATTTCCAAACACTAGAATAGGAATGACTATTCGTCTCATTCCATTTCAAATCTATTCTAACCATCATTCCATTGCCATCTAGAGCCATTCTAATCAATCAGACATAACATAAGTGTAGCCTCCAAACCTAGCAATTTCACCACATCATAAGAATGCGGTATTTGGCCAATTTATTGCAAATTTCATCCCATTCCAATCATCATTGCAATTTCACCACATCATAAGATTAGGGTATTTAGGCCAATTTATTACAAATTTCATTTCATTCCATTCCATTACAATCATCATTACATAGGAATTGGAATGGCAATTCCATTCTTACATTGATTCCTATGTTATTTCCAAACATCAGAATAGGAATGATTATTCCCATCTCATCCTATTCCAAATCCATTCCAACCGTCATTCCATTCCCATCTAGCACCATTCTAATCAACCAAATATAACCTCCGAGTGTAGCCCCCAAACGCAACAATTTCACTATGTGAAACTTTTTTTCAGTTCATCACTTGCTTTCCCCTGTTAATGATGAATTGGAATTGTTAAAGCTGGAACAAACAGCCCACTATTATCTGTGTTTTGCAAGGTAAAAAGTTGTGCACATCCAAGTCATCTGGTAACAGCCTAACAAGCAACAAACCTTGCTGGAACATCCTAGCCAACAACAATGGGTGTTCTCCTCTTCCGCTCTGTACTCACATCCTCTGCCCCCCTCCGCTCAGATTTTTTCAGCCCCGTTGAGGAAGTGGAGTGGGGACGGGTTTTTCTTTCCCCGGCCTGTTCTATTCGGCCTCACCCCAAGTATACTTATTAAATATATTTATGTGTAGAATATATATAATTTAATTTTTGTTTCACTATAGTAAAATTAAAACACCAAAATATTATACTTAATATTAATTTCTATTAATTTATTTTCTATCTTATATGTTATAATTGTTTTTAAGTATTAATTATTATCCACAATATACAATAGTACATATAATTTTTATTAATATTTTCATTATTGAACTTATCAAATTAACCCGTCAGCTGTCTCACACCTGCTACGCCATCGACATTCTCCGATTAGTCCTAACCCTGATATAAAACGAGACGAGTGTGGATCACAACAAATCTATCCCAAACCTAGGTTGTGACCATTCTTGTGAAAGTCAATTAATAGTTTATTAAAGATGGTGAGATAAGATGCTGAGTTCTTAGATCTACTGGCAAAGGTCTTGTATGGCGTGCACTTTGATTGGCTTGGAGCACCATCAGTCAATGGTGACTTGGTGTTTTAAGAGCACCCAATAATTTCTCCTTTCCTACCCTTGCTTTCTCTGTATCTTGGATTTTACCAGACCCGACACTTATGTGGGGCGGGAATGGATTATATTTTGGCCACTCACAATGGGGTGGGGTGGAGGCGGGTATTGCGTCCGCCAGTCCAAATCCGACCCGATATAATTAATAATACTAGTGGGCGACACACGCGATGCACGTGCAATTCAAATAATTAATAATAAAAATAAATAACAAAGAATTTATCATAATATGTATGTTGCTTCAGTGATAAATATGTTTTTAATGAAACTCAAGGTTTTGGATTCAAAACTTCACACTGTGTATAACAATTTTTTTTTTATTTTAGCATATATAAAGTTGTCACGTGGCATGAGGAGAAGAATGTTTCACTAAATCAATTTCGACTTTCACTTAATAATAGTATAGATATATAAATAAATAACATATTAGTGTATATATATATAATTAGATATAAGAAATGAATATTAAAAGTCTGTAATTTTGTTTAAATATAAAAGATAATAATTCTAAAAGTCTTACTGTTTATATATAGAGAAAATATCATTTTGCCTCCCAAACTATTACGCATTTTTCACGTTGACCCCATACTTCAATTTATTTCAATTTAGTATCGAAATTTTCACAAATTGATCAATTAGACCCCTGTTATCACCTTCCATCTACAATTGAATAGAATGTGTTGACGTGACATTTAAAATTTCATTTTACCCCCAAACTATACCTTAAAAATCAATTTACCCCCAAATTAAAAATCAATTTGCCCCTCAAATTATACTTTAAAAATCAATTAGCCCCCCCACATTAGTACATTCCGTCCAATTGTGGACGACAGGGGTCTAATTGATTAATTTGTGAAAAGTTTAAGTACTAAATTGAAATAAATCAAAATATGGGAGTCAACGTGAAAAACGTGTGATAGTTTAGGGGATAAAATGATATTTACTCTTATATATGTATATGGGAACAAGAGAATTTTTTAGTGTGTTAAAAATTTAAATAGTTATCAATTTTTTTAATTATTTAAAATGTGATCGGATATCTGCGAATATCCGCAAGAGCAGAAATGAGATTGAAAAATTCCATCCATAGTGGAATTGGAGTGGGAGCAAGGGTAGGGACGGGTTTTTAAAACGGGGCAAGAGCGGGAGATGTCGCTCACCTCAAACGTGGCCACCCCTACACCACATATACTCCATATACTCTTTTGTGAATAAATTAATTTTGGAATTCCAAATTTTTCCTAAGAAAAAAGATTGTTCCACACAAATTTCTTAGCCCGACTTGTCCGAATTACGTCGCAGCATTCAAAATTCAAGAAAATTGACCCTCTTTCCTTCCTTTCTCTCTTTCTCTGAGACGCCTCTCCCTCTCCCTCTCTCTCTCTCTCTCTCTCTCTCTCTCAAACAGATTCGGTGAATCAGACTGAAGGCGGAGGTATAGCCATTTTTTAACACATTTGAGTTGGTGCTCACTTGTAGGAAGATTCCCGCTCTGAAGTAAAGTCTTTTTGGATCTCAACGCCGGAGTCCACACCACCTCGCATCGAAAGCCAACTTCTCCCTCTCACTGCTCACGTCTCTCTCTCTCTCTCAAACCGACGCCGCCGGAGGGGGTTTTCTCTCATCACCGACCAAGGAAAAAGATCGAATCTCGCCCTCCCAGGTAATCCATCGTGAAACTAGGGCTTTGGGTTTTGGGTCTTGGCTTCAATTTCTGTGCAGAAGCGAAACTACGGTTTGGGATTCATTTGGTGTTATTTGGCAATTTGTGATTTATTTCTGTTTGATGTTATAATCATTCTCTTGGAATTAGTGGATTCATAATGCTCATATTGTGGCTATATACGGAACCTAAGTCCGGATACAATAATCAAATGGAAAAAGACCGGGGTCGCTATGGATTTTAGGTTGAATATTGGAGTTTCATATTATAGGCTTATGGAAAAAACCCTTTTATTTTATAAAACAAAAATAAAACTCAACAACTTTTAATCAAAGGGATTTTCTTTCATTTTGCTCAACTTTGGCTGTTTGTTATGTTTTTGTTGATGGAACCCCCTTGAATTGATCTTGGGGTATGTATTTATTGATTTTCTTTGGTTGATTGCATAGGTGGCTCAACCATTAGGCCAAATATTTTGAAGTGAGAATTTTATATGTTTTTTTTTGGTAGTTTGATATCTACTTGTTTAATTACTATATATATATATATTGCTCTTTTGAAGATTTGAGTTGTGTTGCCTTGCCTTGAAATTTAGGTTCTTAGGGTGTGTGCGCTATATGTTGTTCAATTATGAATGATTTTTTTTGGGGTCAATTTGGTAAAAAATTAGAGAATAATTAATTAAATTAAAATTTAGGTTGGATTCTTTTGTTGTCGGGTGGTCTGTATTGGGGTATAAGGATGTAAAGAATCAAATTTGATACTCTTTGATGTTTGCTAATTTGAAACAAAGATAATTTTAAATACGAACCTATTAACTAGGTGGATGCTATTGTCCTATTTAAGGTTTTTGTGGCTTGGTTGGTTAAAGCTATAAGGAATATCTCAATGTAATATTTAAGATGAAAAGACAACTGTCACGCCCCGGATTTACACGAGCTCACGTGAATAAACCACCCACCAATGAACAGTAAATAACAACTCTCATGCAAATGAATATAATATAGTCACACAATACATGTGTTTATCCAGTTTTATACATTTCTAAATACAACATCTAAGTCGAATGAATGTTCTGTAACTAAAAATATATACAAATATTATAAATTAAATTGAACGCCCTGAGGCTTAAATCAGACACAAGGGTGTAACCTTTACAAGAATGGCACACGGCCAATAAATAACATAAATGGCCCATGGCCTACAAATA